ATCATCATCATGATCCGTCGTGCTCGACCGTGCGATACCTGTTTTTCCTTCGCCAGTTCTTTGTGGCCAGGTCTAACCACTACGTGTGCGGCCCCGTGATCAAGGAGCCTAATGTCGGGTCCGTCCTGCTGGAGATGGCCGACGAAGAGGTAAAATTTATTCAGGTCTACCTTTTCCTTCACATTCGTTGCGTCGGAAGACTGAACAGCTTTCATTTTTGTTGTTGTTGCTGTTGCTGGCAACAAGAGCAGTTACCGCTGCTGGCCGTTGTTTCGGCATATCCAAAGTGTAATATATATATTTTTTGTCTCTCTTTTTTCTTTTACGTCACATTCCATCACGCTCCCCCCGCCCCTCGCACGACGTGGTTTGCTCGTGGATTTAACGTCACACACCGAAACGTTGCAATGTATGTGCTTTGCTCCGCTTACCCTTCCTGTTTGCTGCGTACCCGCTTCTGTCTCGTTGGGGATGAATCCCACGTCCTGATTTTGCTCCCCATTCGCTTATTTTTGGCGTGTGTGTCTGATCGAAAAAACTTCCGCCCTCTCGTCTGGTGCTCGTTGTCGCTGGGCTGTTGGCTGTCTTCGGCCTGCTGTTGCTGTGATTGTAGGAGGTCAAGGCCACCTCCGACTGGGGAAAAACGCCTCCTCCGGAGGGAGAGCCGGCGCCACCCCCATGGATGCCGATTCAGGTGATAATTTATTTTTTGTAGCGTGCGGCGGCGTTGTTTTTATTAGGCGACGTCCTGTCATGCGTTGTTGTGTGTTCTTGTGTGTGTTTTGATTTCTTGCGAACGCGATGCCGAACGCTCGCATCCTCCCTCCCTCTTTCGTTTGCAGACTGCTCGCCATGGTTGTTCCGACGCTCCCTGCTGTTTCCATCCTTTTCCTGTGTGCGGGGTTGCTTGTATCCCGACGGCTCAGTTTGATAAAACCGTTTCCCGGCCCCCCCTCAACATTCCTACGAGGTTCCTTTCTGTTCCCACTTTCTTCATGTTTCGTAACATTTTTCTATTACATGCCCCGCCCCCCCCCCGCCCCCCCCCCCCCCCCCCCGCCTTGTTTGCCATCCGGGTTCGGGTTTTCGTCCCTTGGCAACGACGTTGTAAAAAAAGCCCCCCCCCCGGGGTTTAGCCCCCGAAAAAAAAATAAGTCATACGTAGCTGTCCTCCCACGCCAGGAAGTAAGCCCAAAAAGGCCAACACCCTTAACAGGAAGCAGCTCACCCTT